CGTTGGATAAATAACTGTCCCTACAGGAAGTACAGTTGAGGCTGTCCATATCTATTTGGTACCTCCCAACATATAAGATGCCTTCAACAAGGACAGGCCACGCGTACAAGGAAACACTAATTTGAGAATAAAGACATCTATCATACAAGACTGCCCAAATAGCACTATCAGTTGATTAAAGTGTCATATTCCATCGGTTGCAATAACTTGGCTATTACCCTTCCAGTGACAAGCAGATGGAATCGAGGGTTGTTAGTGTTGAAAGTGACAGACGAGAGGAGTATAGATGAGATCATTCTCAAGAGCTAATCACTTGAATGACACGCTAATGTCTACTTGCATCGGGAGCTCAGCCGTTAGAAAAGGGAAAGTGTATATGTGAAATATGATTAGAACAATTCAATCGACGTATTAGAACTTCCTTAAGTCAGTCAGTCTCTCTCTCTCTCTCTCTCTCTCTCTCTCTCTCTCTCTCTCTCTCTCTCTCTCACACACACACACACAGTTTGCGTTATCTTTCTTTCTTTTTATGTATTGTGTCCTTTCAGGATGTAGGTGATCATGGCCCTCCACTTCGACCTATACCTTGTGGCTCTCAAAAGGCTTTGTGTTTCTGCCAACTCCCCCAGACCACGCTCTGCCATCCACCTGCCCAAAACCGCCACGTATGTCATGCGCTTGCTTTCTCTTTTTACCTCTATTCGTCCCGTGAGTGTCAGATTCTCCAGGAACTCCTTTCTCATCACGTGTTTCATCTGCCTCTTCCTTATGTTAAGCATAAGCTTCCTCCTTGTTTGCATCCTCTCCAACACCTCATCGTTGCTCACTCCATGATATCCTCAGCATCCTCTTGTATGGTTTCCGTTATAGAAGACGATGAACACTTCCGCTATGCAAAACTTTGATTAACCCTTTTTATAGTCAAATCTTGTCTACAGTTTCAAAATAATCTCAAATTTTAATCTATTTTACAAAAGAAATGCTGATTTTCTGTCTGCCTGTCACACACTGTCTGCGTGTGATTTTTTGTACACGTTTGTATGTACGTATGTTTGTGTTGTGAGTGATTGACTTAAATATACTTCTACCACTTAATACACACAAATAAACACAATTTGACGGATTTGAAAATAAGATATTGGAATAATACATCCCTCTACCAATCAGTCTGGACAATCCCTACTCTAAGCTGAACAATAAAATCCAAAAATCTGAGACATGAAATAATTATAGGACTACTAAATTTTTCAGTAATCAGTAGAAATATGTTTTCAAATTTTATACGAATATGCAATGCTATAGGTCCTGATCTGGTATACAGTCGATTTCTCACAGACGTGCCGTGGCTTTCCTCTGTCTCTTCTACAAGTATTTTCACAGCAACTGTTCTGACGAGCTACTTTCGCTGCTTCCCAGACAGCATGAATTTAAGCGAGCTACTAGGCTAGCATCTTGGTCCCACCCATTCACTGTCGAGGCGGCTAAATGTAACCGTCTCTTCTACTCAAACAGATTCTTCTCTCGCACTTCCCATCTGCTGAATTCTCCTCTTCTTACTCGCTTCCCTGATAACTATAATCTTCAAATATTCAATCGACATTTTCTGATACCTTGATCTTTTTCTCCGTCTTTCTCTGTATCCTTTCATCAAACACGCCTCTTTTTTCTTGTTCTCAATCCTTTGTAACCCCCCTGCGTGTTAGCGGCACTCCTGCCTTGCTTGGGGTGAATTGCTTCAATAAAAAAAAAAAAACTTTTTTAGGTCTGCTATTTATATCTTTCCTCAAATTAATTAAAACAACCACTTTAGTTTCCTTTCTTTCACTATACGATCAGTTTTACACTCATTGGTGTGCAATCGATTTCTATTTTTCTCCTTAGATTAAGTTATTTGCAGTGGTGTCCAGTAATACGAATCCATTTTCGGACTGTGCGATAAAATTTACTTGGACTTGAAAAATATTGCGTCTTCCGTGATTGCATCAGGTTTTCATCACACCCAGACACTATTGTCTCAACTGTCGATTAGTTGTCCTACGGCCATTGTCTGCGATGGACGTTAGTGCAAGGAAGCGTAAGAATATTTCTAACTCTGCACGAATGCAAGCCTTACCAGTGAGCAAATCAAAGTACTATAGACTGTCCCGGTAACTCTCTTGATTTAAATCCAATCGAGAATCTGTGGCCAATCTGCAAATAACGACTTCGTGGAATGGACATAGGAAATACTAACATGTGCACTGTGTTATGTTTCATTGGAAAAATACGAAAAAAGTAAATAATAACGGAATTATTCGTTTTGTTTCAATTAATTTGCACAAGTGTGTAATAACAATACCATGTACACATACAAACGTACATGTACACATATTTAAATGGGTCTGAAATTGACATCTGCGTCACGTGGTTTAAATTCCCTTTATATCCGGTAACAACGCTCTGAAGTCATTTTCATGTTTCTTTCTGTGTTGAAACTGAATGTTTTTTTTTAATAAATGTAGTATTTTAAGTAGACAAAGAATTTAGATATGAAACTTGCTCACCTTGCAGTCAGCGAAACGGTTAAGTACCGAATAAATATTTTTAACAAAGAAAAACTAAAGATTTTTTTTAATAAAAGACTGTCAGGCTTTGCCATCTCGCTATCGCTTCGCAAAGTAAGATATATTCACTATTTGAAATCTTTGAAACAAATTTTTAAATGAACATTTCATTCATAAATTGGCTTGTTATAGTTAAGGAAAGTTTTACAAATAGATTCCAACTTGATGAAGGCCAAGTAAGATGCAAATTTCAAAGACTTTTCTGCTCTATTTAAGACGATATTTCTAAACAGAAATATTTTTGATATAAAATTCAAAACAATCCTCGAATAAAAGAACAGAGCAGCTTGTAACCTAGCTGCAATTTTGGATACAAAAGAAAAATAAGAGTTTCTCCCTTGAACCAGAATAGCAAAGATAATGGCTATTATAATATATTAATATATATTTTTAACCTCGCATAATCTGACAACCTTGAATATAAGCTCAACGAAAACCATTCCCTGCGCGTAACTTTTCTACGGCTTTTGAATAAGCTATGAATCATTGAAATCGAACCAGTGGGAGCGAAAGAGTTGCTTGGACACACACACACGCACAAACACACACACATGCACGGTACTTTATATATAAGATTAATTGGTGATATCGCTAATATATAGCGGACGAAACTATAATCAAAACTAATATTTCAAAAGCTGATGATCATTTCAGTAGGAAATTGATTCTTAAAGATGGCCTATTAATTTGAAAATGTTTATCTAACGCAAAGATAGACTCCAGTACGCAAACCTTTGTAAGGATATTCAATATGAGGCTATCGCTGCAGTTGGAGATTCTCTGACAGTCTTTTCACCCTGTTCTTAGGAAGACGAATATTACTCATAACGACTTAATAATGAAGATTTCATATGGTTTTATATTGTTTTCAACCAGCAGCTGTGAATTTCAAATCTGTTTGGATAGAAAGTTTCTGTTTTTTTTTTTGGTTTTTTGTTTTTTTTTGTTTTTTTTTGTTTTTTGTTACGTGAGGATTTTTCTTTTTTTATTTAAAACATCTACAGATTTCAACAGGCAAGTCCACTGGGCACTGTGAAAAGATTATATATCCACTGTTAAAAACATTTTTATGTATATTTGTGTACAATTGATTTTCATATTAAAGGAGAAATGAACTGAGAATTTATTCATATCATTTGGCAAAAAAATTATTTCTCTCTCTCTCTCTCCCCCAACGGCCATATCGCGTTGAAATAACGGTTTCCGTGCAATCACTGAAGTTAAGCAACGTCGAACCTGGTCAGCATCTAGATGGCTGATTGCTTAGGAATACCAGGAATAACGACTGTGAACTGTTAATCTGAGAGATGTGTTCCAGTTTCAATCGAGTTCGTTATATTCGATTACCTTGGGAAAGGTATGAATCCACCTCTTTTTCCCTCCAGCTATGGATTCATTAATAAGACTTGTATCACTGAGTCACTATCTCCCCCAAAATTTCTTACAACCTAAAAAACGGTTGATAATCAGTAGGAATTAAATCAATGTCTCTTTTCTCTGTCTCTCTCTCTCTCTCTATCCACATATATATATATATATATATATATATATATATATACGCGTGTGCGTGTATGTGCACATATGTAAAATATCAGATATAACTAAAATATATCTGTAAAAGAACAATATGGAAAAAACAAACAGAAAGCTTATAAAGGGTGTTTCATTAAGACGGATTATATATAAGTGGGTTTCATTAAGACGGATTCTATATAAATGTATTTCATTAAGACGCATCAAAGTCAGCAGTAAATAAATTAGCGTTTTTGGTGAAAATGTTTTTATTTCTCTATTGGATCATGTTAGTTAAGTCATGGCAGTTGAGTGTGAAAAATAATATCGCCCAAATGTCCGCCAAATCTGAAAGAAAAAGAGAAATATCATTTGACGCTTAAACTTAATTCACATTTAAAATCGTTCCAAGTTATTGAAACAGCCTTTATTAGTTGACGCGTTTCGTCCGCTAATAAAGTCTTGATCAGTTTCATTAGAGAACGAAACGCGACTAAGATAATTTTTCTTTTTATCTTTATTCATATATATATATATATATATATATATATATATATATATATATATATATATATTAGCCAAACATACACACAATACACGAGAATAGAGGAAAGAATACTGAATATAATGGCTATTTTCACTTTCCAAATAGACCCATCTACGAGGGTGGCTAGACAATCTCTACTGCAAAAACATTTCCATCTGACGAACACTCACTGTGCCCAACTGCTACACGTGTTTCTGGTTTCGCGACCTTCTTCAAGCAAAGCGTACATATTTCCACATTTGAATCACTACCACACAAAAAATTCATTTTTATAATATGTGGGAATTTTATAATTATCAATTTTATAGATCATCAAAGAGTTTTTGATATTTTGAGTGTTACAGGGACAGAGGACTAACTAGATAGATAGATAGATAGATAGATATGTGTACACTTAGATAGATAGATAGATAGATAGATATGTGTACACTTAGATAGATAGATAGATAGATAGATAGATAGATAGATAGATAGATAGATATGTGTACACTTAGATAGATAGATAGATAGATAGATATGTGTACACTTAGATAGATAGATAGATATGTGTACACTTCGATAGATAGATAATGTGTACACTTCGATAGATAGATAATGTGTAGACTGAGATAGATATGTGTACACTGTGATAGATAGATAGATGTAGATTTAGATAGATAGATAATGTGTAGACTGACTTAGATATGTGTATACTGTAATAGATAGATAGATAGATAATTTTAGATACATATTTGAGGTATTAGATTAAGTTATATACAAATATATGTGATGATTTCCAGATAGTAGTTTAAAATTACATGGTGTGGCCTTTTCTATCTGTCTGTGTACATAATCTGTTCTTTTTAACTGAAGTAAAGATTTTCGACCAATCCGAAGAATCATTTCCCGAAGTGGCCATAGCTGAATTATTCTCTTGTCACCTCTCTGATATTCTGCAAATGTTCTCAGCTTTTCTAAAATTTCCATCTGATTGTTGCAGTATTTTCTTTAGAAGCAAAATTAATTTCCTAAAAACAACTAAAAGGTCATTGACGGAATCGTTAAATATGCTTATAAAACAGAGAATCCATTGTTTATTTTCATTGCTTGTTACTGATATATACTGAATATAATTGTCATTTTCCGAATAGACCCATCTACGAGGGCGGCTAAACAATCTCTATTGCCAACGCATTTCTATTTGATCAACACTCACTGTCCCCACCTGTGACATATACTGCAACTGCACTATGCGAACATTAGTTAAGGTTTATGGTAAAGAGCGCATACTTCGGTATGAGATGTTTTAACAGCGCTTAATAGGTTCGCAACCCTTGGTAGCTATTCCTTGTGACTTCTTGCTAGCATATTGACGATCCCCAAACAGTTTCGTCTGCACAATTTCAATGACAAGGCTTGTGTCAACCCAAGGTTTTCAGGCAAATATGCAGTACGCTGAAAACAGCTCACCAGGAAGATAACATCAAGATTTTACCTGACAAGTCGTGAGATTCGAATATGAGTCGAAAAACCAACGTTCTAACCACTCCGCCATGCGCCCATTTGATTAGTCTATAGTTTCTTCAGCCGGTCCATTCGAAATGAATAAAAATATCATGAAATCATTATAGGATTATCTCCCCTTTCATTTTGGTGTTGTTTTTTTTTTCTTTTTCTTTTTCGCTAACGTCTGATATCGACCGTCTTTCAAAAGGACGGACTACTGCGTCAAAAGTTTTTCCAAGCGGTTAATAATTTTAGGCTAAAGGTCTTTGAGGTTGGAGTTTGGTAGATAAATTTTTATGATCATTTCTTTCTTTTTTTTATTCAATAGATATTTTTTTAATGTTCTATTGTGATCTTTACTTTTTTGTGATTTAAATTGCAAGGTAAATGGAATGTTGCTGGAATTTTCGAAAAATGTCTTTCTCCTGCGGTTTATACATCATCAGTAAGTGAAGCGTAAGCATTCCTCTTAGGCCAAATAAAAGTCATCAGTCAAATTTCGAAGGAAAAAAAAACATTCTCTCTCCGCTTCCCTGCCCTCAGCGTTGTTTGTTTCTTTGATTTTGTTTTTATATTTTATGTCTGATTTGTTAGTATCGATCTTTTTCTGCTGAAGTTCACTTGAAAACTTTCATCTATTTCGAGTTTACATATCTGAACGCGTAAGAACAGAAAATACATATAATTGCTTTACATACATACATATATATATATATATATATATATATATATATATATATATGTTTTATTGAACCATGCATGCAAGAATAGATATTTATTTTTAGTTTATTGACTTGCGTAAGAATAGACGGATTGTATTTTTATAAGTGAACTGTAATCAAAAGATCCAGCACGGTAACAAAATGATTTTTGAAATGGAACTCTTGAATGTTGAGAAGGACGCCTCCAATCTATACAAAATAACGATACAACACATTTTTGCTTTCTTTAAGCAAATGACTAACAGTGAAGAAGGAAACAAATTACAACTTTGTCTTTCAAAACAAAGTTTTCAGAAAGAGAAGAAAAGAGATTAACCACCTTTTGTTCTGAGTCCGCAATGCATTTTGCATTAAGTTTTCTCTAACATACGAGTACAACTTACTTACAACTTACCGGGTAGGTGCACATGCGCATACAAACCTTTGTGCAAATTAATTGAAACAAGACAAATAATTCCGTTATTATTTACTTTTTTTTTCCAATGACACATGACCGAATGCACATGTTAGTACTTTGTATGTCCATTCTACAAAGTCGTTCCTTGCCGATTGACCACAGATTCTCGATTGAATTTAAATCAGGACAGTTTCTCGACCAGTCTATAGTACTTACCAGTGTGATCGTACAGCATTACAAATTTCGTACTCTTCCTTGGAGTAACATCTATCGCAGACAATGGACGTAGGACAACTAATCGACAGTCGAGACATTCATATCTCGGTGTGATAAAAATTGAATGCTATCACGGATGAGGCAATATTTTTCAAGGCCAAATTTTATCATACAGCCCACAAACAGGTCCATATTATTGTACACCACTGCTAATCTGAGGGAAAATAGAAATCGATTACACCCTGTCACTCTACTGGGTCTAAAACTGACCCTATGGTGAAGGAAAGGAAACTAAAGCAGTTGCTTCAATTAATTTGCACAAGGGTGTACAAACATGTAGATAGATATGTCAATATAAAATTAGAAAATTATTCTAAGCATGTGGATATGATATTTTTAAATAGTGCAGGTCGCAAGATGCTTTTTTATATTTTTTAAATTCTTTTATTCGGCAAAGCTATTACCCGCCTCTACTCTCCTCGTTTCCCTGATATGTTGTTCCCTGTATCAATGCAACCAAAAACGTAGCATTCTTGGCCTCGTAACTTGTCCACCTTTTTTATCCTCGCGACCATCGGCAAGTAGAGTGGTAACCAGATTCTACAGGGTTATCTTACAGTGGTCATGGAGATTTCAGGCGTGACATTTACGCAACATTTTTGTCTCTGCTGAAAACCAATTTCAAAGCACGGACCAACAAACTTAATAACAAAAAAGAGCTCTTAATGAAAGTTAACTGAGGAATTTAACTGAAGAATTTCATAAGTAATAAAGAAATATAGATATTTCCATGTTGTCTTGTTGACGATCTTTCGGAAAGAAAACTAGTTTAGCAGTAAATCGTAATCATTTGAGAGACCTTGGTTCTAGCATTATGCTACTGTGTATTGGGCTTGTACCAGCGTCCTTTGTCAGAATCAGCAGCAGCAGCAGCAGCGAGGACTGCTATCTCCTTATCATCTCTCTGTCTTGTCCCACATGTCTCTCACTTGTCCGTCTCATTTATATAAAGAAATATGCGCATCTCTGTCATTGATTTATTGCATTTTTATGAAATAATCCTTTTTGTCAAATAACAAATGGCCCTCTTTAAAATGCGGTCAGGCCAAACCTCTGACTGGCCTGAATTTTGAGAATGAAATGAACATTTGCGGAATGATAGTAATTTATATAAACACAGCCTTGATAAACTGATAGTACCTTATATAAAGATTTCTTATTTGGAATTTGGGTAATTAGAAGATCATATATCTTTATCATATAGTTCCAGAAGCAACTGGATAGATTGGGGGTGATCTATTCTTACCTAAATTTAATGAATTATTCTGGGTTTGAATCTTCCTAGAACTTTCTCCAAGCTCATTTTATGCCTTCTAATTATTATTTTTCCTTATAGTCAAATGACACTGAAACTCCGTTGCTCGTTTGAAAGTTTCAGATAAACGACTGCTTTGAAACATAGCGTACTGTCAGCGAAAATAGGGTGAAAAATCAGTTAGGCATTCCTTACTACAAAAACCACAGCAGCAACACCTAGTGTCGTTGAGAACCATGGTCTTACACTCCTTGGCGGAGTCACAGCCATAGTCCCACACTCCTCAGCGAAGTCACAGCCGTGGTCCCACACTGCTCAGCGGAGTCACCAACGTGGTCCCACACTGCTCAGCGGAGTCACAGCCGTGGTCCCATACTCCTCAGCGAAGTCACAGTCGTGGTCCCACACTGCTCAGCGGAGTCACAGACGTGGTCCCTCAGACCTCAGTAGAGTCTCCGGGTCTAAAGCAGAGAGAGGAAATTATTTTTTTGAATCCGTTCTTTCTTTCCTTAGCCTCCAGAACTAATTAGTTCACCTGAGTTTTTTCACCTTTTTAATGTTAATTATTTCTGGCTTCAATTCCTCATTAGATTTTCTCAGGCATGAAAACATCAAACCAGGATTATTACCCTTTTATATCATAATATAGTAAGATTAATTCATTGATTTGTTTTTAACGGTTTATCAACCCTCTTCGGTTTATTTAAAGTTATATAATATTTTGGGATTGTAAGAAATTGGTAGAAATATTAATGATTTACTGATACAGGTGCTTCTGTTTAACCCATAGCTGGAGGAGAAGTGGTGGATTCATACCTTTCCCATTGGCATTTGTGCGTATGCGAATATAACGAACCCGACTGGAATTGAAACTCTGCTTTTAAATTTCCAGTCCCGAGCCGTTATCCAGTGCACCATCCGCACATCCAAATTTACAGCACTTGATATTCCCAAACGGTCACCCATCTAGGAACTGAACAGCCTCGAGGTTGCTTAAATTCGGTGATCGGATGAGAATCGGTGTTTCAACTTTAACCGGCCGTAAGCCTAACAGTCAATTAGATAATTAACAATGATAAGGCGTTTGATAAGGTTTGGCATGCCGGCTTTCTTCGTAAGCTTCAGGGATACGGTATTACAGGTTGATTATTTGGTTTAATACAATTATTCCTGTCAAACCGTCAAAGGAAGTTAGTCCTAAACGGGTTCTTCTCCAGTTCCTTTCATACGAACGCTGGTGTTCCCCAAGGCTCTATCCTGGGTCCTACACTGTTGCTGATCTTCATCAACGATCATCCTGATGTCATCAGTTCCCAAGTAGGCATCTACACAGACGACACTACTATTTACTCCTGTCTCAATAGTAAATCCGGCATTGCTGACTTGAAGTTAACTTGAACGTTGGTCTTGAAAAGGGCCTCCAATCTGTGGGTTAGAAAATGGCTTAGAAATTTTAATGCCTTCAAAATGAAACTGTTGTCATTTACCCACCATAGAGAACCCACCCTGCCTCCCATCATGATGGCTGGTGCCCAATTCCATGAGGGCGCCTCTCTGAGCCTGCTTGGTCTCACGCTTTCCATTGACCAGAGGTGGAACAAATACAATGAATTAATAGCGTCAAGGAAAGTTGGTTCATACTTCAAATCTACAAATCTACCATTCGTCCTTGCATTGAATACCGCGGCCATATATAGTCTTGTGCCCCCACATTTCATCTCGAGGTCATCGAAAAAATCCAGAGACGGATATGCAATGTGATAGGTCCTAATCTGGCATCTCGTCTGCAGCCACTTTCTCACGGATGTGCTGTGGCTTCCCTCTGTCTTTTCTACAAATATTTTCATGGCAACTGCTCTGACGAGCTACTTTTACTGATACCCCAACTGCATGAATTTAAGCGGGCTACTAGGTTGGTATCTCAATCCCACCCTTTTCACTGTGGAAACTGTTTAATGTAACCGACTCTTCTACTCCAACAGCTTCTTTTCTCGCACTTTCCGACAGTGGAACTCCCTTTCTCGTAATTGCTTCCCTGATAGCTATAATCTTCAAATATTCAAATGTAATGTCAATCGACATCTGATCACTTGATCCTGATTCCCGTCCTTGTCTATATCCTTTTCTCAAACAACCATCTTTAATCTCACTCTCTGTTATCCCTTGCTTGGCGTGAAATGCTTAAAAAATACCATTAATACAATGGCTCCCAACCTCTCCAAATATTACTTCAACAGAAAAAATGAAAATAAAAAGTAACGTTTACGCAAAGAAGAAAAATCGATAGGTGAATGATTAATGAAGGTTATAGAATATCAAACACTTCTAGGAATGGTGTTCCTAGGCTTTATCGTTTCTCTTTTATTCGTTCTCCCTGATATCGACCAAACAAGTTTTGTCTCATGACTCCATAAAACTGTCTTCTAAAAATCTTTTTACCAAGTAGAGACATGGAAATTACAATGGACCTTTGCGATGATTTTTAAGCAGAGTTGTTTAATCTTGGATGCTAACTAGTAAGAACATATTCATTGTTAACCCTGCTTAACATGCAACTTGACATTTATTCCATTACTTGACAAATCAGAAAGAATAGCACAATTTACGGTCATTCGTGCATTTACGGACAATCTTTCTTTGCAATCTTAGAGAAAGTTTACACTTGCAGAACCTTCCAGGAATCAGTTGCAACAGTTAGCATTATAAATACGACAGCAGAATTGGGTCCTGAAAACCGCTTAGCTGATTCTCTAGAAATCATGCCTGAATTGCAAACTTTCACAATTCGTTGTTTTAAATTCATAGACGAATTCTTCAGCGTCGCCATGATGTTCTTAATACCCAGGTTGAAGTAAACAATGCGCATATTCACTACGGTAAACTAAAGTTCTTTTTAGAATACCTTATAGATGCAACTTGATAGATTATCTGTTCATAACATGATATACATATTAAGCAATTATTAATCCCATAAATAATTAAAATAAATTTCTGGTGTACGGATAATTTTGTCCTTGCTAATTTTTTAATGTTATTGAAGTCAATACCCAGAGGCGACAGACTGTTTCATGCTAAATGCAATTGTCAAGCCTGACGATCGAGTTTAGCATGAAACAGACTGTCGCCTCTGGGTGTTGACTTCAATGTCCACTTTCATATTTACATACGCTCTATCTCTGATATTGAGCACTTTAACCCATAAATATGGCATACTTTAAAACTACTAAATTTTATCATATATATATATATGTAAATGAGCAAAAATGGAAAAGTTACTTCTCTTATACTGGAAAAAAAAGAAAAAAAAAACACGTGATCTTTGAAATCTAGAATGCTTCATAAGCAGTAAAAACGAATAGTTGAATTGAATTTACAGAAACACATACACATACTCAGGGACAACTTAACCCCCTGAAGATAGTCTCAGGTGAGATTGAAAGTACTTAAGAAAATAACAGTTTGCAAAAAGATTTTCGTATTTTTCTTAATCAATTTTCTAAGTCTATCAGGAAATTAATCCGCGAATTTGAAAGGATCACAACGAAAACTAATCGACATACGTCTAAATTATTTAACCAAACCTATTTAAATATTTAGATATAGATATATTTGTGAATATTGCACTACAAACATAGATATATGTGTATTTATTAACACACACACACACACACACACTCTCACACACACACACACACATATAAGTGAAGAAATTTTGGGGATTTAGAGTAATTTATCGAACCTAGAATAATCCTCATCAAAATGCAGAAAGCACTGGACGGCCGTTTTGTCCTATTTGTGATTCATCAGCAATGCACATCCACTACTGAGAATCGAACACGGACCGTTTCGATACAACGAAGAAGAAATTGACTAGACTCGATATAGCGACGCCACTCACTCAGCTCTGTAGTGATACTCCTCAAGTATGCGAATATCAACGGAACGGTGCCCCAAGAGCCACGTCTTCTTTTCACTCTTAAGAGAAGGATAGTGGATAGATCAAGGCAACTGGAGATGTCGATTGACATTACATTTGAATAGCTGGAGATTATAGCTCTCAGGGAAACTGGAATAGGGAAGGTAGTTCCACAGGCGAGAGGTGCGAAACATGAAGCTATTGGAGTAGAAGAGACGGCTATATTTAGGAGTTTCGACTCTGAAAGGGTGAGAACGGGATGCCAGTCTCGTAGGGCGCTTGAACTCATGAAGTCTGGGAACCAGCGAATGCAGCTCCTCGGAGCAATTGCCATGAAAGTATTTGTAAAAAAGACAAAGAGAGGCGACGGCGCGTCTGTGAGAAAGTGAATGTAGACGAGATGCCAGAACAGGGCCAATTATATTGCATATCCGCCTCCGGAGCCTATCAAGAACCTTGAAACAAACAGAAGGGGCTCCAGACCATATATGTCAGCAATACTCCATGCAAGGGCGAATTGTTGATTTGTAGATCTGGAGGATCGATTCCGGGGAGAAAAATTTCCTGGCGCGGCACAGGGAGCCAACTTTCCTTGCGGTGGACGAAGCAATTGACTCAATGTATTTGTTCCATCAGCAGTCAACGTGAGACCGAGCAGCCGCAGAGAGTTGCTCTCGAGAAGTTGAGCGTCAAACATTCTAATGAAGGACAGGGAAGGATCTCTGTGGTGATTAATAGAGAGCAGGTTTGTTTTTGAGGCATTAAAGTTGGCCAGCCAACTCCTGCCCCAGTTCACAACCGATTTGAGGTCCTTTTCGAGACGCACGGCCAGGTTAGTTTTTTCAGCGACACGTTTGCTTTGTATCAAAACGGTCCAGGTTCTATTCTCGGTAATGGATGCACATATAGGACAAAACGGCCGTCCAGTGGTTTCTGCATTCTGTTGAGGATTAGTCTAGGCTAGATGAATTACTATATATATATATATATATATATATATATATATATATATGATTCCATCGCCACACAGTAATTACTGTTTCGGGTCAGGTCATCTGTATTCAAGTTTAATTTCAATATTAAACCTTAACTGACTGTTTCATCTTCAAGTGATGTTTGGAATAACTAAGCAACGAAATGTTTTAATCATTTATAGTTTTGAAATGGAGGTGTAATCTGCGGTTAGTTTTTTATTTTTTTATTATTAAGGGGTCTCTGCTTTGATGAAAGTAGGAGTGTTTTTTATATGTAAAGTTTTTGGAGTTGTGTAAAGTTGGGTGTTTTTTTTCTTTGTCGAGCTACAATGGCTAATTTATCAGGCTCCGTTGTTTTTTTGTTTGTTTTTTATTATTATCTGCTAAAACTCTAACTGATTCATGTTGTAGTTACGGTACTTTTTGGTGTTTACTTATTTGTATCTTTTTTTTGTTGATGGTTTCTTGATGGTTGGGTTGTATTTTTAAACGTATTGTTTTAACTGAATTTACTAATAGATTTATATGGTATTTTTTAATTTTATATGGTATTGTGGAAATTATTATTTTTTTATCCATTTATAAAATGCTAATTATTTAAGTCGAATATTTAGCGGTGTCTGCAAAGAAAACGTTATTTCATTTCTTTTTAAAACTTGATGATGTGTAGTTTTTCATATAGGCATAAAGGGCATGGGTCATTCCAGGCTCTACATGTTCTTCTTCTATTTATTATTTACCATTTTACTGTTGGTGTTTTATTTGTTTCTTTCGAACAGTTGTTTCCTATTATCTCAATACACTCACACACATATATATATATATATATATATATATATATATATATATATATATATGGATAGATAGATATCTCTGTGTGCGTGTATTTCATCTAGAAGAAGAAAAAGTTTCCGCTGTCTTGCGGTCATATCCAAACAGGGAAAAGGCTGTGGTAGTAAATCCAGACATAAACCCGGCGTGGAGCTGTCAATACTGCCTACCTTCCTGGCATCTCCTGAGGCCAACCCGGCCCCAAATGTGACGTCTTATATTCCTTTAGTTCAGCCGAGGGAGGAACCATTACCTTGGCCTGTGTCCTGGAGAGATCGCTACAGTCTCACTACCAAAGGACTGAATTTT